TCCAGAGTCTGAGAGTTATTCAGGGTGAATCAGACATCTAGGGGGCCGAGTCTCTCTCTCTTACAGTCTCGCCCTCTGCGATGAATATTAAGTGAGTTAATACATGTAAAGAGCTTAGCATATTGCCTGGTGCATAGTAAGTCTTCACTAAATATTGGTATTATGATTTTCTACTCATTCATTTGGTCTGCTTGTACACGTTCATTTACCAATCCTCTCCTTCATTCAGCACAAACTCATTGCACATCTCTTCTTTGCCTGCATGGGGCTCTCCTGGGCCCAAACCCTATGGCTAGTGCTCCCAAAATTCAGCAGAGGCCTGGGGATTCAAACTCACTCCCATTTACCTGTGAGCTTGGTCACCTTTAAGGACAGCAGAGCCTCTTTATCCAACAAGTGACAGCAGACACTGGCGGCTTACGATCACACTTGAACATCTCCCTCCCACCAGGCCAACTGGTGCTGAGTGTCTCAATATTGGCAGCCGAGCTTTGCTGAGCACCGACTAGCTGCCCGGACTCCAGAGCTCACAGATAGCTGTGGCCGAGGCAAAGTTCAAGGAATTGGCAGTGAGGAATCTGAGCCATGCATATTTATTGATTTAAGTTTTTATTTATATGTCTCCCCACCTCTTCCAAGACCTGAATAAAAACTAATAACAGTTCCAGAAGGTGTTAAGGGTGGAAGGAACGGTACAAGTAGTGACTCCCGAAAGAGCTCAGAAGAGATTGAGAGCTCATGGGGTGGAGGCCTGGAGGAAGTATCCATCAGGTGGAGAGAGAGGCCTGAGCAAGGGTGCAGAGATTGGCTGGCATGGTGGGTCCATGCAGGGAAGCCAGGGAGGGGGGACAGCCTGTGGGGCTGGAGCTGCCTGCCTGCCCTAGTCGGGGAAGAGCAGGAAGCCGGAGAAGACACTGTCGGAGCCCTCTGTGCCCACCATGCCATTGTAGTCATTGACAGCCAGCCACACTTCGTCGCCCACCTGTACCCGCAGCAGCACGCCGCCTGAGCTGACCTGCTTGCTGTTGGACATGTGGTCACAGAAGGTGGTCACCCTGACATTGTTGTGGTACAGATGCACGCACAGGTTGGCTGTCTGCGACGTGTGGTAGACAAAGTAGTAGAGGCCGGGGACTTTGCAGGTGAACTTGCCAGTGCCCGTGTTGTAGTCCCCCTGTGGGTTGGTGATGACCGTGTTGAACTTTACGAGGCTGTTGGGCTCTGGGTACTGGGCTGTCTGCCGAGTGACCGTGAACACTGACTGGTGCTTCTGCTTGTATCTGCCCTCCTCGCCGGGCTCTCCGGGGGGGCCCATGAAGCCAGGAACGCCTGGCAAACCAGGAGGCCCCATGGGGCCATTTTTCCCAGGATGTCCAGGTATGCCGGGTTCTCCCTTGTGTCCCTTGGGCCCTCTTGTCCCGGGAATGGCTGGCATTCCTGGAGATAGAACAGGTAGGAAGAAAGAGATGGGGCAGGGGACAGGGAAGAGGGTGTTCTGGGGGTGTCTTTCAGGGAATGCCCCACTGGTGTTTGGTCTCCACAATCTCCTTCCCACAGTGGACCTGGGAGCAGTGCACAGAGCGAGGCTCCAGCCAGGGTTGGGGGAGCCTCATGCAAGACCTGCCTCTCCACAGACCTGCCCTCTGACCTTGTCTAAGGAACTATCTGGCCTCAGTTTCCATAGTTGTGACTGAGAGGGGAGGATTAGACAGCATCAGGAGGTGTCAGAGGTGGACAGGATCTCAGAGAGTGGGTCGATGGCTGTGACCACCACCCCAAGGACAGACAGCTCGTGGCCACAGATAGCTTTGTCTGGTCTGCCCGATGTTTTAAAATTTTTTAAATTAGAGCCCCCTATGAACAAATTCAGAATTTACCTAAAAGTCTAGCTTGTCATTCCTTCTCTTGAAAATCAAAAGGTTGGTCAGAGAGGGATTTCCTTGGAAGCTGATGAAGCTTCAGGCCCTGTTTACTTACCTTAGTCCCTTCAAGGCTTTTGGCCTGACTTTGAA